AATCTCAATTATGTACATTACTCACAACGTTTCACTATTCTTATCTCAATTTCAAAAAATTTGTCACTCGCAACGTCACACTATAGTACCCCTTAATTACTCAAAATTATATTCGAATTTCTTTCAACACGCTTCCACCAGGTAAAACCATTCTCTATCGTTCCAAATGAAAAATAATGTCCACTCCAATTTACCCTACACCAGACTTCACTCCCATTTACCGTTAAAAGCCTGAGTGGGAATCGAAATAAGACGGGAGGACATTGAATTCTAGCCACGCGACACGAAAAACTGTCGGTGACCACGGCATAAAGCAACACGAAAATAATTTTCGCTTTATCTGTCACGTGAGGCCAGGCGGCGAATGTATTCCCAGCACGGTCGCGTGCAAAAACTGTCATAACTTATCACGGGGTTCGTGTGTACACGCGTTTCTTTCCGCGCGACGTGAGAAACACTTCATCACCAGGATATCCTCGTTACGTTCGCAACCGAAAGTCCCGCGCCCCATGGGGCTTTCTCGGTATACGATATTGCATCGATGGACTAATTGAAACGGCGATTCCGTCCCTTCTGACACGCACACAGCTGCTATTGTCGCGTGAGAGATTGAATGAGGAATAGGGACAGAGTATTGCCGGGCAATTTTTTGTCTTCCAATACGCTTCAGGTTGTTTTCTCACGAAGAAAATCGATCAACCTGAAAAATGTGATTTTAGTGGAACTGTCTGTGTATCTAAAGCTTAATGAAATATGTAAAAACAATTTTCACATTTTTTGGTTTATTCGTAAGTATTTGTTTATGGGGAAATCATTTTTAAAACAGCTTCTGTATGTTGAAAAATATAAATGGAATCAAGTACCAGGTGTAGAATTGTTGAAAAAATTGTGTGGACAAATTTTAATTGAAGCAGCTGAATTGTTGACATATTTTAAGGTTTGCTCTATCTCGTAGCATTTCTATTGCAAAAATTACACCAATTAACGATTCAAATTTTTAGTTCTTTGTATACCTCAGTATTGATCTATGTGACTTTCTTGTATTAGAATTTTATTTTCGATTTGAACTGTCTACTAGTTAAAAAATGCACTGTCCTATCAGAGATTATTCTCTTCGTAGATCTCGTTGGTAAAAGGTCAAACACCTTAGGTTTCAAAAATACAGCCATCAATAATGCTGTTACACAGCACTCGGTTTGGTTTCCAATTTCATACCACGGCGCTTGTACAATTTTGAGGCGACGTCTGGTTGCAATTCGTTCACAATACTGAAATATTAAAGAGCACTGTCAGACCACATCGACCCCGACTCCTTAATTTGTCGAGCGTGTGTTAACCAGAATCTGGGCGAACATGCAAATGAAACCTTCACATTTTTTGTCTAGTTGCTAGTTTAGAAATCTAATTTAATTTCCATAAGAAAATATAAGGTGTTCCATTTAAAAAAAGCAAAGTGATAAAAAGATTTATATTGTAGCGTATTTACCCCCTGAAATCATGCAACTTTTGCTTCACACACATTTTTGTGAGACGAGTAGTTCAGGAATAATTTAAGTTCTTAATTTAATTTCTTAAATAAAGAAATATAGATGTTCACATAGGGTGTTCCATTTAAGAAATGCGAGCTCATCTTCAAAATTTTATTTAAAACAGAAAATAATTATTCTGATATTTGTGCCCCTGGAAATCACGCAACTTTTGCTTCACACACGTTCTTGTGTAACGAATAGTTCAGGAGTAATTTCAAGTTGTCAAGTTAAGAGAACCACTCTGCACAGAAAAATGAAATTAAAAAGCTCTTGAAACTTAATTAATTAACGTTCTCAATTTTCCTAATTTATTCCTCGTCGCAGACTAACATTTTCTTTAAACACACACGATACGTGGCAGTTAAAAGGAGCATCAACTCGTTCCAATACTTATTTAGCTTCTTGTTTTTCACGGCTTCGAAGACGGATCAAAGTCGATCTCGCGGCAGCTTTTCCAGGGAAGTTCTCGCGTTTTTCATGCGTTCGTGTCGGGAAATTGGTGTGCCGTTGCCAGCAGGACTTTCGAGGAGATTCTTCTTCATCCCGACGCTCCCGGGGAATTGCAACTCTGTGATTGTGGATTAATGTCGTTAAGCTCGCGTTGCTGCAAGGCCGGCGCGGCGTATCTCGACTCGGGGGACAAATGAAGTGAAGTTGCCTCTTTGAGATTGGCATTTTTTTTTTCTCGACACGCGCCGAGATTTTGCTTTCGAAACTCGATTACTCGGCCGCCTCTCGTGTCTTATGAAATTTAACGGGATACCTTGCCGGTGTGTTTAGCCGGAATGCAATTTCTGCTTCTGAGCGTGGCCGTGTTAATGCGATTCCAGGAGAACCTTTTTCGTGAGAACGCGTGACAAAATATACAATTTCAGTTGAATGATATGTCATTCTGTGATTTCATGCTCGAGTAGACTCGAACGTTTAATCATTCCGTTGAAATTTGAAGGGGAATACTTCAATATTGCGTTACAAATCTGGGATTCAGTAGTATATATCAATGAATTGTCAGGCGATGATCGTCAGACAGCATTACTTTTACAAACGGTATTATTGTTATAGATGTAAGATATTTCCTTTTTAAAAATCGGAGAATAAAGCTGGAAGCTGTATTTATATCCTCTGCAAAAATTGGAACTTTTCATTTAGTAGTTACTTAGGAAAAAATTCCCAAACTTTACCTGTTTTAAGACTGCCTTATCATGTGTTTCACTACTGAATGTGATTTAATAATCAGGAAAAATTCTTTTTAATAGCATCCTTCATGTCAGAACTTCTGTAAATAATTTGGTGTAGTAATATATTATTAAATGCAAAATTTACTTTCGTTTAAATGCAAGTGTTTGAAATTATGATTTAATGAAAATCCTTTGTGACACACTAACGATTATATTACTCATGGCACTTAAAGTTAACTGTATATAAATATTATAAATTCAAGGTTTCAAAATTATTTAATTATAATATCTGTTTATGGTAAACATCTTTGAAATATGATTTGAAAATAATTGATTTTATATGCATGCACATCCTGCCTGACCATTATTCGACTTATCTACTGTAAAATTCCTTGGTAGTCCAGTATAATCACATCAAGCTGTTGTAAACTGCCTTTATAGTTCCCGTTACTCGTTTATTACAGCTCGCTAAATTCATTTGATTTACAGGCAATTTTATGCACGCGCATAAATACAAGCCGCAAAGTACTTTCGCGTACGAGGGCAATTCTGCTCGAAAAATGGTTCGCGATTGATGCGTGCAACAGCTGAAGAGATGACGCTTTAAAGCACTTTAAAATTTGATTTTCAATTAGAACGCGTTTTAATGCGCGACTAAAGGCCATTAAAAATTCATGAACTTCCCATTTACGTCATCGCCAGGAACTGTCCCCTTTCGTCGATCACCAGAAGCTGCGTTTAATGACAAATACCTGCCGACTTTATCGCGAATTTTCACCACTTCGTACAATATTGAGATCCGTACACTTGGACATTTTCAATGAAAGATTAATTTGTTGCAATTCAATATATCGAATATGTCTTTCGCATGAACACTTCTTTTCCAGGAATGAAAATTTCGTTAAAATTCCGTTGCGATGAAATACTTGGATATTTTGTTGGTATATAATCGATGAAACAAGTAATTAAAAGATTAAAGCCACTAAAAGGTAATACCTTTTCTCTGTTTCACATATTTCTCTCCTTTTCTGTATTCATTACACGTTGTCATTTCCTTCGCGAAACAAAATTCACACATTTTAGAGAAATTATTTGTTGTTTAAAATGTATCAGAAATGAATAATAAAATGCATTGGAGAATATTAAAGAGGAAATTACTTAAGAAGGTATACCACTATGAGACGTCTAAAAATAGGTAAACTTTGGGAATTTTTTTCATAGGTAACTATTAAACGAAAAATTTCAACTTTTTCACAGAACGTAAATGCAACTTTCAGCTTTTTTCCGCAATTTTTAAAAACTGAAAATTTTACGAAATGGAGGAGTTATTGCGAAACTTCTCCTATAACATTAATAGCTGACCGCTATCGTCGACAAGAATTGGAACGTCTGAAATAAACAATTCTTGTTGCTTTATAAATAAAAATATATTATCTATAATACATAGTATGAATTTGCACAGATTTTAATTACTACAGAAATGGTTTGAATAGGAAAAATCATTTTTTGCTTAAAAAAAGAATCAACTTTAAACATTTTTAAAGAATTGAATAATTGAGATATGGAAAAAATCGTGAACTCAATTTCTTCGTGAAAACAAACCTGATATCAGCCAGTGTGTGTACGAAGAGAAGCGGCAAATAGCGGTTTGACAAACTCGCAGATGCGCATAACGACTCAGGAAACGGTGGAACTTGATTGTTTATGGAGTTCATTAGCCATATTAACTTTGTTAGCCATAGATACAGCGCGGTACGAAATCGAACGCTCTCAGAATCTTGGCCTACAGGGACTTTAGAAATATGTGTACAGCTGCTAGTCCTTCATTCTGGCAACATAGTGGTTTCTAATCGCATTACCGTATTTTGCCCCCGCTATCGTTCCGCGGGTATCTTTTCCCCGCAATCCGTATTTTCTACTCGATCATGGGATTAAGATATTAACACGGCTGATTTGAATTTATGGTTGATCGGAATACTTATTTGCAACGACTTGTTGAAATCAAGGAAACCTTTATTTCTAATTTAATCAGTCGTGCTCCATTAGCTCAGGAAAAGTATAGTCAAGGGAAATAATATTTTTCTTTTCTTTTTTAATACAAGTGATTATTTCTTCGAAGATATTTTAACGGAGGATATTAATTAGGTGTTTTTGTTATTAAATTTTGAAACTTTTGTTATTAAATTTTCAATCAGGTGTTGAAAATTTTTGAAATTGAATGGGCTGAGAATTTATACTCTGCAACGAAGTAATTAATTCTCATTTTAATATTGTTATTTCTTTTGTGTTACAGGTGTAAAGAACCTGGAAGGTACATGAAGGATCTTCCTCCCACAGCGGTGATAATATGCTTCCACAACGAAGCCTGGTCTGTACTGCTGAGGACTGTTCATTCTGTTTTGGACAGATCCCCGGAAAACCTCATACAGGAAATCATCCTGGTTGATGACTTTTCTGATATGCGTAAGTCGACAAAATGTATTCCTTTTGTTTTACTATTCTGAGCACTCTCATTGCATGGTGAGAGAAAATGTATTCCTTTTTGTTTTCTAAATATTCTGACCACTTATTGCATGGTGAGAGAAAATGTATTCCTTTTTTTTTTTATATTCTGACCACTCATTGCATGGTGAGAGAAAATGTATTCCAATTTTTTTAGTATACTATTCTGACCACCCTCGTTGCATATTATCACTCGTATTGTGAGGCATTAAATATTAGATAACATTATGAATAATATTACAATATGAAATTGCAGCTTTATACTCTGATAGATTAATTTTCTATGTCAAATTCCTTTTTCTAATTTTTATGCATGTAACAGCTTTTAATTAACTATAGGTCTCTACTTTAAGCTTCGAGTGCTATCGATGTATATGCGTCTTTAATGAATCACATCTATCAGGTCGTTGCACATGAAATAACAAATTCGTAAATGAAACTTTGAACCTTAGTAACTAAAAAACCTGAAAACTAAATTTTATTAATCAAAATATAGAAAATTCAGTGCTTCCTTAAATGTCGATATGCAAAGGCTCACATTCCATTTAAAAAATTCAAAATCACTTTGATATCGCATGAACAAGTACATTATTTAAAAAAATAATAAAAAATATTTGTGTTCCTTCCTCTATACTGTGCAATTTATGGAACATGTTATACTTTCGAAGTTGTTCAGAATGGGCAAGTTACAAACAATTGTTACATAAACCACATCCTTCAAAAATTATTCCAAGTGGAAAGCTCACGTGACTCACCCAGTGCAACACCAACTACATCAAAGAAATGTAATTCAAATCACACACCGGGTGTCCCAACACTTCCAAACACCAGCGTACTTCGAACTAAACCAAATTAGTACTCCAAATGCAAGTACATCGCAGAAGCTTCGTCAAGCTTTCGTATCGCTGAATATCTTCGACTCTAAACGTATTGCCTGACACGGAATCTGTAAGCGGTAGCTTAAATAGAAACCTTCGTTCGTTATATATCGCTACTTGTTCGTCCGAGAAAGCGTATATCCCTATTCAGCTTGCGGTGATTCGTTATCACGACGGTGTTCCGTAGTCCCACGATGCCGATCGATTAATCGCGATCCATGCATGTGTTCGTGCACCGTAACGATCCGCTCGTGAACGTGTGTGTATGCGTATGCGCGTGTGTGAATAGAAGGGAAAATGTGCGGCGTGGACGTGTTGCGCGCGTGTACACGGAAAATTCCGACAGGTTGATGCATGCCAACGGTGCCGAGACGTTGATATCTTTGCCGGCCTCTACGTTCTGCGCGCGTGTACGGGAAAAAGTTTACCTGCGTGTGACGCGCTGGCTTTTCGACATCGGAAGAAGAGAAGTTTGACGTCGATCGATTGTCTCCTTCTATCGCGACAAGTCTGTTATTCCACCGGCAAAAGCTGATTTTCCTCTTTTCCCGTCGCGATTTTTCCGGGCGGGGGGAGACAACACAGTAGTGGCGAGGTTGATAAAAGGGAACGAATTGAACTGTCAGCTGGAGAAAATGGATTTGGCGAAATTTTCTTTTTTTCAACAATTCCGGATATTATTGGAATTCTTTTGGAGGAACGTCGTGCCATGTGCCTCTGGTAGATGGGTTTTGATTAGGAATTTCTATGGAAGAACAGCTGATGAAGTTGTACGGCGTGGTTGTCGAACAGACGATACGAACGGGATTGAATTCGACGTGAGAATGAAAAGTTGGCGAAGACTGCGCGTTTTGCGGGGGAAAAGAAATTAAGTGACGTTGTGCAGGAATGTATGGGCGTGTTGGTATACTTGCAAGTATACGTCAATTTTGATAAAAGTTTGTATAAAGCAGAGACGTATACTTTTTTAGCTGCTTATATTCATTTTTAGGGGGTGAAATCATCTTTCACGTATGGTGGCTGGAAAATTATCGATTGGAATGTCTCGGGAGTTAATTTCATTCCATTTGGTAGAGGGAAAGGTAGAGATTCATAAATATCAAAAAACACTTTTTGGTCAATTTGGTTTTTTCTTGGTTTGTCACTTTTATATCATGCAATGTTAGAATGTATCATGTTTTTGACTATCATTGACAAGTTTTGAACATCTGTATAAGCACCTGAATTGAGAAACGTACTTTGTAATATTGTGGATTTGTAATTTCATGTGATTGTAATTTAAAGAGAAAATTATTACAGTACAGACAATTACTATGAAATTTCTGAATGTGGGAACCAATGATAAATACGAGGAGCTTTCCTGTGCAAAGTAACTTTATGATTTAACTGTTCAAGTGTGTGTTTACCAATTTTTAATGGTAGAAGATAATCACTTGAAATCAATTTAGAAATGAAATCATCAGAGTACAAATAATTGCTATGAATTTTGAGTGAGGGAAGCAGTAATAAATATGAGAAATTCTCATCTACAAAGTAACTTTATTTATTTAACTAATAATTTTTCAATTAATTCTAATTGAATAATTGCAAATGGAAACTTTCTACTTAAAAGAATCTTTCAATTTCAATCTTAATTCTTTTGCAACTCAAAAAATCTCCAAAATTTTTTCCCTTAATTTACCATCGTTCTACTCGAATCTGCACTGTTATCACACGAAACAAATTTAAACGCAAACCGGACAACTCCGAATCTCGTTCGCGAACACGAGAAAAAGGGTAAAACTTGTTGAAAGAGATAGTCGAAAACAAAGGCCGGTTTATCGTCGAAGGTGTTCAGATCGACTTAACGCGTTGCTGGATTGAACGGGCAGATAACTAACCGTGGCCACGTGTAACAAAAGGTAGAAGGGTAGAAAATAAAAATCGCGAGAGAAAAGCCGACTAGATTAAGCTCGCTTGACAGCAGGTTAGGGAAGGCGCAACCTACTGGAAACGATATAGGAATAGAGCCTGCGAAATCCCCCTTAAAAGCTCGAGATAAGCCTCTGTAGCAACCGAAAGTCAGTCTGATAAACATAGTTAGCAGGTCTCGTGGACATCACACGTAACATATACCATCGCACGAGACCGACCGATTTTTTTATCATTGCAATATGCGAGCCTTTCAGAATCCACGGAAGAAAATTTATCGAATTTAACGAAATATGTTAAATAATTTTTTTTTATTTATGAAGAATATTTATATTTATTTGTGAAGAATTAAGCATCAAGCATGTGCCTTGATACTAAAATTGGAAGAATATTAAAGAATGGAGTTAATGATTTTATGGATAATAAAATTTATAAAATATTTTCTGTTTATGAAAAATTAAGCACAAAGCATGTGCTTTGATACTAAAATTGGAAGAATATTAAAAAGTGGAGTTAATCATGTTACTTTATGAATAGCTCGTATGATAATTTACACTAATTTTTTTAATTTGCATTCATTGTCTGTTCCTTTCCTCTCTTCTTTTTTTAACTGTCACAGGAATGCTATGGATAAGGTAGCATAGCTACAATAAAGACGTTATCTAATTAATAATAACAAGGAACAGGTATTTTCTTTGTTACCGCGAGATTAAGCTGCAACGCAATAATGTTCCCGGCGGAACGAGGATAATCTTGTGTTTTGTGGGCTTTGATGGCAGGCTAAGTAAGCTTTTAACGCGATAGAAATTCTGTAACGGGTAATTGATAAGCGGAAAATAAGGGGAAGCGATTCGGTTGATAATTAAAAATTTTTTCAGGCCTCTTCCTGCGGAGTAAATTCATTTAATTCGTAGCTACCTTCTTTGTGGTTGGCACAGAAAGTAATTCCTCCTATTTGTGCATATTTTACGTTATTATATAGTCAGGGAATATTTTGGACTTTTGTGCGTTAATTCATATTTTTTTTCTGTGTGCAAGTAGAATATTCGAATTCTGGAAAATAGGAGATTTGTCGAAAGTATCGAAAGCTTAGGATAATTTGTTGTCTCTAACATTTGCTTGATTTTACCCAAAATTGGATTTATTCGCCAATTTTTATCATAGGTCTTAGGTATGAGGTTTATTCCCCTATTTTTATATTTGGTAAAAATTTCTTCTTTTCTTATTAATAATAAATTTTTACAGTCAGTAGTTATACCGAATATGGTATCAATATTATATTATTAGTATTCTTATGACAACTGATTATAAATATTAAATCACTCCATACATTCGTGTCGTATGTTATTATTTAGGTCAATATTCCTGACAAACCTTTAAATTTGATTAAAAAAAAAAAAACGTAAACGCCTTCTGGTTCCACAATTTTTTCCTATTTTTTTTTCTTTTTTTTTTTGTAAAACCAAATTTCCTGGATTTTTATTCAAATATTCTTCGCTTTCGACAGGAAAGAAAATACGATGGAAACTTCTGCATAGACCTAATATTTACAAAAAATCTCACCGAATGATTAGAATTGTAGAGTAAAAAAAACAGCGGTAAAAATTCCTTCGCATAAAACTCTTTCTCGTACAAGCGCTTCGTTTGTCCTTTCAATCGAATTAGGCGTGCGTGTTGGGAATAGTAATCGCGCGAAGTGATGTTCAAATGGGAGCCATAATGCGAAAAGTCAGCTGTTTAATCTGCAGGTGCAACACGGTTCGCGAATTCAAGTTTCAAACGAAATACCTCGCGCTATGTTTCCCTTCGAATATTCGATTACGCGGATTCTGACGAATTTCTAATGTTCACGTCGTGAAAAGTCGCGAAACGTGTGCAAGAACGAGACGACACACGCGTGTGAAAACAGAGTTGAACATGCTCTATTAGCGACCCTATTTGAACGAGTCGTTAATTTTAGCGAATAAATGAATATTCGATTACGCGGATTCTGACGAATTTCTAATGTTCACGTCGTGAAAAGTCGCGAAACGTGTACAAGAACGAGACGACACACGCGTGTGAAAACAGAGTTGAACATGCTCTATTAGCGACCCTATTTGAACGAGTCGTTAATTTTAGCGAATAAATTCGACGGTAATCGTTACATTGGCGCGGAAATGATCCTTGAAATCCCTGTATATTATCTGCAGTTAAACTAAGCTCAGTAAGTGAAGGCTTAGAGGGGAGGTTCTCATAGAGCCATTCTGACGCAAAGTAAATCACGAATGTCTACTAATTGCTATCCTCAATGGGACCCTTAACTATAATTCATCAAATCTCGTAAATCTAAATTTAACGTGTAATCACACTGGATGATGGAGTGGAATTACGCGATATTACGTATTATGTACTGCAGTGCTAATAAATATAGCGACAAAGTTCGCTTCTCATATTTTCGTAACACTAGCTTCTTGGATTCAGCTTATTTTTTACATTTTTGGTGTAATAATAGGTTTAGTGTTATGAATAAAATTTCTGTGGTTGAATTCTTCATGAATTAGAATATTTCTGAACATTTCTCGTTTTAATGCGAAATCCTAAATGCACAGGCACAGGAAATAAAAACTAAGTAATAAAACAGTGCTCTGAAAGTGCTAATTTAAATTTTACTGAAATCATTCGGTTTCAGGTTAACCTAAAAAAAATGTTCCACTTTTCTTTGAGGAACTAAGCACTGAAGAATAAATTTTAAAGATGAAAGACCATTAACCCTTGGGTGCCTGAATGAGCACTGGCATTCACTTGCACTTTGGACCCTTTAAATTTCAAATTATGAATGTTTGTAATTTATAAATTTTAAATTATGAAAATTTATAATTTACAAAATTAGAAATTATGAAAATTTGTAATTTATAATTTAAATAGAAATATAATATACCTAAAAATTTTTAACTAATTAAATTCAGTGAAATTGAAAGAAGGAGGATGAGTACTTAAGTCATGTTGAAAACTTTCCTTTACGAGAATACCCTTCCCAGAAAAGTGAAGGAAAAGTGGCTCAAGTATCAAAGGGGGAAATCTTCCTCGAGCCTTCGTATTTGAGCAAAGAAAAGCGAACGATCAATCTAATTCACCTGTACAAGCAATTCCCATTTACAACTCTCGTTTAGCAATCGAATTTAACGTTTCACAGCGCATCTACAGCGTCAACTTGAGGACTATATGATGAACTACCCGAAAGTGCAGATCATTAGGGCACAAAAACGAGAAGGTCTTATTAGAGCTCGTTTGCTGGGCGCAGCAGCTGCGAAGGCTCCGGTCCTCACATATTTGGACAGCCATTGCGAGTGCACCGAAGGCTGGCTCGAGCCCCTTCTCGATCGGATTGCCCGTGATTCAACGACAGTCGTTTGCCCTGTGATCGATGTTATCGACGACACCACTCTGGAATATCACTGGAGGGATTCCGGCGGTGTGAACGTGGGTGGGTTCGATTGGAATCTGCAGGTAAGCGAAATTCCTTTCGTCGTTATTTCGCGGAAACTATTCGTTGTGCCGAATGGCGGTCTTCGATACGGGGACGAGTTAATCGGGAGGAAAATTTCGAAAATTATAGTTGGAATCCCGACGATTTTGTGTAGGCTGACCATGGCTGTGTTTTAGTATTCAGAAGAATTTCGTTCGGGGAAGAACTGAATTTAGCTCCGTACTCAACATTTTCAACGTTTGAGTAAACAGTTGAGTTTATAGTATGAGGGAAATTGAGTTTTGTGTCAAAAATATTCTTGAATATTTTAGTGAAATTTTTATTTTCTATGGTAGATTAAATTTCAATGTTAATTTGAGTAATTTACTTGCGTATTTACGTAGTTACGTCTTGAGCACTTTTTTTGGGAAAGATTTGTAAAATATTGGAGGCATTAGAAGGTACTATATGATGTAGTAAAGTACTATAGATTAAGGAATGGGGAATGAGGAATGAGGGAATAATTGAAGTTGCAGGAAATTCTTAAAGGAAAGGCATTTTTTAATTTTCAATGCAATTTTTTTGGGAAAGATTGGGATACTATACGATATAGCGAAGTAGTATACATGAGGGAATAGAGGAACGAGGAATGAGGGAACAGTTGAAGTCGTAGAAAAGTTGGAAAGGCGGAGTATAAGTAGTAACGGTACGTCTATGGTCAGACACGCCGCATACGTACTAAAATGCAGTTCTCCCTACAGTTTATAATGAACACATGATTCAAATTATAATTTTCAAATTTATTCAGACTGAAAGACTTCCACATCAAATATATATCCATAAGTCAAATTGAAATTATTACACGCAATATTAAACATTAAAAGGGGAAGAGAAAATTGAAATTACATTAAGAAGTGGAGAAAATTCAAGTAACCTCCAGCCTTTTAATTTGATATAGTAAAAATTCACGATGTACTGTTGTGTGTACATTTCGTGCACACTTTGCCACTTGGAATTAGTTTTGTCTACAGGTGCCAAGATATCGGAAACGTTTCGTGATTTTTCGGTCTTGTTACGAACTTCGTACAATTTCACGACATCGTCCTGCAGATTCCCGAGATTCCTTGATTTTTGTATCAGTTCAACTGGCATGCGGTTCCCGAAAGAGAGAAAAAGAGGCACAAGAATTCCGCGGAGCCTGTGTGGTCACCAACGATGGCTGGAGGCCTCTTCTCGATAAATCGAGCTTTTTTTGAACGCCTCGGCACGTACGACAGTGGTTTTGATATTTGGGGCGGCGAAAATCTCGAGCTCTCCTTCAAGACATGGATGTGCGGAGGTACGTGCAATTCTGATACAAAAATTTGTTCCAGGGAATCGATTGAAACTAAAAAAAACATTGTTTCAAATACTCGAATCCATTACATGATTCAGAAGAGTGAAGAATTCTTTTTTCTTATATTGTAAGATATTTGTAACACTCTTGCAGCTTTGCGTAAATTGTTGTCCATGCAGGCTAGAAAATTAATTCAATTTCTATAGCTTAATATTTTGAGTCATTAATAGTGGAAAATATTGTAATATTTTTCAATATTTATCAAACAATGAAGCCAATCTATAGCTTCATTATTTTAAAAAACTGTGTTTGATACTTGACAAAATTAATCGAACAATCATTTGTTCACCTGTTAGAAATTCCAGACTGAAAATAAGATTTTGGAGATTCAGAGATTCAAGAACAGTCGATCTTAGCTTTATTTCCCACAAATACAAATATTAATTAATCACAAATATGCAGCTCCAGTCTCGCAAATATCGCGCACGCCGCGTTGGCAATAAAGTTGAACGAACGAGAGCAAAAAAGGACATGAAACAGAGCAGAGCTACGGATATATCCTAAGGTTGCATCTTCATCCAAGCTTTCCTTGCATAGCAATTAGCGGAAAATTCATTCTATCTGGCATCTAATCCACGTAACGTGTCGAATCCACGCCAAAGTCCAATCTCTCCAGGCATCCAATCACGCTTCCCTCCAGCTCGGGCTACATTTTTCCATGAACTGCGGAGACTGAAGCGGTGCATGGGAAAGCCCAGAAGAAACTTAAATCCTCGAAACAGCGGCAGCTCTGCTTGTAGCCTCTCGTTGCAGCGAAATAAACTTGTTTCCTCCGCCGCAATCAGCCGTTTCCGTGGGCTAGATGCACGAACGAAATTCGACTGGTAGCTGTGTGTTTTGCAGGCACACTGGAAATCGTGCCGTGCTCGCACGTGGGCCACATCTTCCGGAAACGTTCGCCGTACAAGTGGCGCAGCGGCGTGAACGTGCTCAAGAGGAACAGCATAAGGCTGAGCGAAGTGTGGCTGGACGAGTACGCCAAGTACTACTACCAGAGGATAGGTCACGACAAGGTGAGCACCTACTACTCAGCCGGCTCTGCGTTACCTTTTTCCATCAACGTCAACCTTTATACCTCCCCTGGTCGATCTCGATTTTGCTTGTTCCTCAATACTGTAGGATTATGCTGAAGCGACGTATGTACCACCTGTCTCGAGGATCCCGTGTGGTATGAAAATAATAATAAAAGGAGACAGGTTGGCGAAGGAAGGTTGTCGTCTGAGTCGATGAAGAATGTGCTGTCTTGAGTACTCAATGTGTGAGGATGAGTTAACTCTAAGGTAGTCTGACAATCTCATAGTTTTCATAGAAGAAAGGTTTTGGTCTAAGTCAGTGCAGAATGTGATGTCTTAAGTACTCAATGTGTGAGGATGAGTTAAGTCTAAGTTAGTTAGTAGAAGTAAGGTTTTCGTCTAATTGTAAGTCGATGCGGAATGATGTGTTAAGTAGTCAATGTGTGAGGATGAGTTAACTCATCCTTTTCATGACAAACTCATAATTTCCATTTCGTTACATTTTACAATTGTAATAGTAACACGTCTAATCAAGGAGGCTTGAACTGAATCCTTTCACTCACTCTCCCTTTTTGTTAACAACAAATTTAAAGGAAGTAGATATGTATTAAAGTACTAAGCTTCTTTTGCAGCTCGTATTTCGCTTTTGTATTTCGAATCAAATCTTGGATATCAAAATATCTACAAATTATATTTCTGCTTCTCGTGTTTAAAGTAGAATCATTTGCTCGAGAATTCTGCAGATCTTCTCGTTACCATCAGCTGTCCAATTGCAACGATTTACCCTAAAGCCGTCGACCAATTGGAGGCAGAAATTCTTCTAATCTTTCATAATCTTACGATTATGGAACGGGCTCTAAACCTTTTAATCTCCAATAATAATTCTCCTTCTTATTACCAAGCCGCCCCCGAACTAACGTTTCACCCCTATCAAGCATCAAACAGCCGTAGACTAAAATTTTCGCGGCCGGAAAACCAAGCTAATTGCACGAAGCTGCTTCCACTTTTAATTCTCCCCATTCTTCGCCGTCTTAATTCCCCTATCCTATCCCCCAACATCGGCAATAACAGTATTTTACCCCTACTTCGGCGAACGTCTCTTAATTCCTTGCCTGAAAACGCGTTAACATTCAGTAAAGGATTTTTAATTTCGCCTTTCGAAATTCTTTTCTACCTCTAGGCCATTGTAAAGACGTAACTCCGCCCAGTCGCGTGAGACACACTGTATGCAAAGGAAAATTTAAGAAATATGAATTTCGTAGAAATGGTAACTGTAATAAAAAAAATTGAGATATTCTATTGCATGTCATTCAATTGCTCATAAAATTGATATCACTTCACCTAGTTGCGTGGGACACCTTGCATATAAAGGAAAATTTATAAAGAAGGATGGTAACTATAATAATAAAAAATTGAGCAATTCAGTGAATTGAAATATTCCATTGCATGTCGTTCAATTACTGATAGAATCGTGATCGCGTTCACAAATGTGTGCTTCATTCCTTCACCATGCTAATGCCTAAACACACACTTCTCATTACATATACATACATCCAGCACGTAGCTCAAATATTGTCTCTTTAAACATTCATTATACCAAACGAATTGCAGCTCAAAACAAAAAATTCGTTGAATGAGTTGAAGAAAAATGGCAAAAAATTTAGCACTAACATTTTTAAGACCTGACAAAATTTTATTTCAACAAAATATCAGGGAAGGTACTTTCCAGAATCATAATTATCATACTTTTATTAATAACTTCGCGTTTGTAGAGGTGTTAACACGTTCGCTGCCACCGACGCAGCATATGCGTTCAGAACGTACTGCTCAGCGTGCTATCGATTTTCAGGCGGCAGCGAGCGTGTTAGAAGCGTTTTCAAGAATCCGCGCGCACATATACAACTTGGAAACTTGTTTTTCCATTTGCGTGCGATTTTATTGGCCGCGTCGGGGCACATGTTATACGCGCGATAAGGAATGACGATAACCGAGCTCGATGATGGAGAGTACCGTAGACCGAGACTCGTCGTAAAAACCGGCCCGTAAACGCGCGGAGCACTCTTAAAGATCGCTCGCATGTCCCGGCGTTCCCTGGAAGGCGCTTCTTTCATTCCCCAAGATCTATCCTTTATCCTGGCAGCTTGTCCCGTCGAAACGAGATCCAATCGAGCGTGTGGAACGACAGGATAAAAGTAAATCGTTGTCCACATACACGCGTCCTGAACGAGGAGCAGCTCCTTTCTTCGAGCACTTTTCGTGAACAGAGTGGGTTCTACTTAAGAGGTTAACTTTCAGACGCATCGTTAGGGGCTTAAAATAATTTTCCACGAAATTGATGGAAAAATAATTTGCCACGTTTCGAGAGTGCTTTCTGTTGATGTAGGCGTTGATGAAACAACATAAACTTTGGATGGGTCAACTTTACCGAGCCTTGTGGCAAGTTTAGAATAGGTTTGCGGTACAAAGTGATTACACTTAGCGGTGAGTTGAAGTAATTTAACTTTTAACTGAAGAGAACTTGGATTCTTTCAGTTTATGGTTGCTAGGGCGAAAGAGCTTTCTGATCAGAATGGACGTAATGACACCTTGATTGCTCAAAAGATACTGAAAACCTTTGACAGTTGGAAGAGTCGAATTTCCGCTTCGAATGTTCGAAACTCGATGTCGAACGGACGAATTCGAAAAATCATAATAGCGAGAGCGAGAAATTTCAATATGGAGGAGGAAGTTTAAACGTGATTAATTATGGCGTTGTGTGTTTGACGATGATACAAGTAATATAAAATGTAATTGTTCGTTTATAGTAGTTGAGTACTTGCAGAGATATTACGTTTGAAGAGGACCTTCGTTTTACAACATGCGGTCCAACAGTTCGAACGAGTACCGTTGAAAAATGTTTTACAGCTATGAAGGACGTTTTATCGGTGGAGTATCGTTTACCACAATGCGTCCTCGAATTTTCCAATTTCCTATACACGAAACACATTTTTTCCTCAAAATTCGGGAGTATGAATCAAACGTGAGAATAAAAGGATGATTTTTTGGTCGTTAAATGTTTTTCACCAACTCTCTGCCATTGCATTATTCGGAGTATAGAATAGTTTATTTATTTCCGAATGTAGGCTGCTCTGTGTAAAATTATTAGTTTCATTTAAGTAACAAAGGGTAACATTTGTATCTCCGACAAAAATGCAGGTAAAGAAATAAAATATTCCCAAATAACCCCTTTCATTTCTATTCCTACGCGATGTACAAAATTTTAAGTAGAACAGATCAATCATTTCCCCCAACCTTACCTCTTAAAAATTAAGTTAAAACAAAAATTTCAAAGCTATAATAAGCAACTTCAGTATATTACATACAATACTGCAATTTCAAGTAGAACAAGTCAACCATTTCTCAACCATACCTCTTAAAAATTAAATTACAACAAAAATTTCGAAACCACTACAAGTAACACACTGAAGCAACAGTCTACAGTTCACCCAAGCGTCATTTTAGCGAATACCACGAATCCCCAAACCAATATTCAATATATAACACTATATTACATACAACACTACAATTTCAAGTAGAACAGGTCAACCATTTCTTATCCATACCCCTTAAAAATTAAATCACAGCAAAAATTTCACAACCATCGGGAGCAGGACACTCAAGTAACTGTCCACAGACCATCCAAACGTCTTTCTCGCGAATATCACGAATCCCCAAGCCAGGTATCGCCATTATTCCGCTCTAGAAGGCTCTAAACTCAAGTCCATAAAAGGTTCCGTGTATTTCTCCTCGCCCTTTATTTCCCCCCTTTACTTGGCCCTTCGCCTGCGTCTCTTCCTTTCCTTTTTTACGATTATATCACTCGCTCCCTTTCCCCGCCGCCACTCTTTAAATCCTTGCTCCCGGAAACGACCCTTCCTTTACCACCTCTACCTGGTCGTCCAGCACAGCTAGCTTCCCTCTTCTCTTCCCTCTCCCTTCTTCGGCGTAGGTAAAATTTCCGGGCTTATGATTCGCAATTTTCACAGGGCAACTACGGGGACGTATCGGAACGAAAGGCGTTGAGGAAGAAGCTTGGCTGCAAGTCGTTCAAATGGTACCTCGACAACGTTTATCCTGAGCTCTTCATACCTGGCGAGGCGGTGGCTTCCGGCGAGGTAAGGACTTACGCGCGATCCATCGTCGTCGTCGTATCTTCTCTTTTGCAGGCAAGGAAATGGCTATCGGAATCAACGAACGGAGGAGCCACTCGTTTCTTTAGCAACGTTACCGCCACTTTGATCTATCAAGGTGTTGAGTTACTCGGAGGCTCCTCTCTTTTCGCGGAAGAACAGCCAGCGGATAAATGGACGGGAGAGCCTTCCCTTTTCATCTTTTCCACCCCGGGTTTTCTCCTTTTTCTATTCTCCCCCGCGGAGAAACGCCGCTGCCGCCTGTGTTACGGTTTCTTCAAGTAGCAGGCATGTGGCCGCCGTCGACGTCGTCGTCTTACTTGGGCAGACGTGTGTAGGTGTTGAGCGTTGTGAGATTCTTCTTTTTTTCGTGTATGTGTTTTTTTTATTTTTACGGTTATTTTTCACAGCCACCCTTATCCACTTTCTTCCCCGTGATTTCTGAATATTTCCCGCCTCGAGCTGGAATTTAGCGAAAATAGTAAGCTCGAGAGGTTTTCAAAATGGATACGTGGTATATAATTCTGAGGTAATAATATTTCATGAAGTTTATACGATTACAGGATCGTCTTCGGAAATAGAGATTTCGTTAAACGTGAAAGGATCAAAGTATCAAGAATTCAAAGTTATCGGTATTATTCAGTACTTGAATATTTCCGAGTATCCTTCGTCTCAGAATTCTGCCAAAAGCTCGAATCACAATTAGAACGATCATTTAAACCGAGCTTTATCGAATTACTCTCAATTTACTATATCAAATTCTGCAGAGCAAGATAAAACTATCAAAAATTAACCCCTGTCGATATTTTCTGGTAATTTTCGTTTTGCAAAATTCTGCCGCAAGCTCGGATCAAAGAAAAAAAGAAACAGGAAAAATTGTTTAAGCTCGGTTCTACCGAATTACTCTCCATTTACGAAATCGAATGCACGTTGAAATTCCACCGTAGATATTTCTTTCCCAAAAAAAAAAAACAAAAAAAAAAAGAACGTTTCATAAT